AGCAACACTTTGAAGCGGTTGTGTAAACGTTGGCTTAGCATAAACTGTCGGTTCTGGAGGAGGCGCCGCTTCCTTCGGTGCCTCCAGCTCCTGAAATCCATAACTGTAGATTTTTGGAGAAAATAAAAAGACTGCAAAGTTACGTAAGAGAGAGTTTTTTAGAGACAAAAAAAACAGCCTGTAGTTTCCTAAAAACTTTTAAGCAAAAACTTTTAATCAATACGAGAGAAAAAAGCATGCCTGTATTCGCTTCCAGCTTTCTGGATGTTGCACATCTCCAAGAATGCTTGCTCGACTCTGACAGTGTAAACTACCGGTTGTTTGATCTTCTCCGGCTGCATTTCTTGCCAAACAACAAAATTCGCCCACATCCTCCGGCAAAACGTAATGTATGTCGAGTGTTACCAATCCGAACTCATTCCTCATTGCTATACGGCTGCTTGCGGCCAACGGACGGCCATTATGGAACCTGAAAGAAACACGCCGTGTTTTTGAAACAAAAAATGAGCGCACCACACCCGCGATTCGAAGGTTAAAGGTAAGCAATTTATCATAATGAAATAGGAAAAATAGGATGGCGACGAACAAGAATTTACGAAAACTTACAATTTGTAGATTGCTTTTCTATGCACAAAAGAATGGGCATCGGTGGGATTAGGAAATACATTAGAACCGGGAACAGCGAAATTCGGAATACTTTAGCCCTTCAATTCGGTCGAAATTTTATAGAAATAACAAGTTTCATTCAATTGATTGAATGTATGCAGTGGTTTGTTGTGGAAAGCACAAGATCTTAGTCGATGAAAAAGCTGTCAGCCTCGTAAAAATGAATCCAAACTATAAAGTAACCAACAGCTGCAGCGTGAGCAACACCCAAAATATTTTGCAAGATATTTTGTTCATTAAACTCACCATAAAACGGCCACTTTTGGATCTTTAATTGGCTCATATTTTGCTTCGAAATGTGCTGGCTGCCCCTCAATAAGATCATCATTGGAGTTCAATTGTTGTACAAAATGTGGTGGTCCATGCTCAAGATCCGGTGCTTCCTCCAGTTTCTCTTTTGGTTGCTCCAGCTCCTGAATCCTTTTCCAGCTCTCTTCGTGTTGCGTATCACCAATAATAGCTAAAAACACGCTAAGTAACAAACAAAAAGTAAGAAGATAGGGGAAAAAGTTCAGTGTTTAAGGTCTAATTTCTTTCTTTCACAAATTCACAAAATTTCACCAAAATTCTGTAAAAGCATGTTTTTACCAGATTTCGATTCAACACCCAGATATCCTTCAGCTTGATCCTGTCCCTGTTCATTTGCTGCAACAACAGTATAAACGCCCGAATCTTCGGGAACAGTGTATGCAATATCCAGCCCAATGAAGCCAAAGTCCGAAGTATGATGGAATCGGTTGCTGTTGAGGAGCGGAGCGCCATCTTTGAACCACTGTACCCTCATCTGTGGGTCGTTGATTGGCGTTACTCTATAATTTAGCAGTGTCAAATATTTGTTTGCTTCACACGTCACTCTTTTCTGGAAACGGCTCCCAGCGCAAAAGCCTTTAAAAATATATTAGTAAAAATTTTTAAATTCCTCATGACTCGCAGAAAATTGGTGTAGCTACACTTGGGTGTACCTTGTTTCAAAGTGAGCCGGTTGTCCTTCGATTCGTTCGATGGTTTGCAGCGGTGATATAAACTGAGGAGCTAGCGGCTTTAGTTCAACGGGCTCTGGTGGTAGCTCTTTTGGTGCTTCAATTTGCTGGATTCGATGCAAACTTTCTGGATGTTGACTTTCATCGTATATGACTTTGTTGCCGATAACATTGAAAGAGGCCGAAGACTGTGCCTCACCTGTAGTTGAAGAATCGAGATTAGAAAGAAGCAAATAGAAAAGTTATAATTTGATATTCTATGTTTATAAGCTGATACATATTAACATAAAAGTATTATTGGGACAAACCCAGGCTGTTAGTGGCCACACATGTCCACTCCCCGCTATCTTCCGGGAAAGCATAAAGTATATCCAGTGATACATAGCCGAAATCATGCGTTTTCCGGAAACGATGACCATTTGCGAGAGGATAACCATTGTGATACCATTCCACTGTCAGTTCATTATCATTTGTCGGTTCTATCTAAAAGAGTATGTTCATACAACAATAACACTTCCTTGAGTTTAACTGTTCCCATTACTTACTACTGAGAACGCTAAAACGATTTTGGCGAAGTACTACTTCTTCTTCCCCTTCCGTCCCTCACCCCCTTCTTCCGTCCCTCCCTTTCCAAAGTTGAAATGGAAACTTGAAATAAAAAGAAATTAAAGAGGGAGAAAGAAAAAAAGAAAAAAAGAAGACTGTGAGATTATTATAATGGTAAGTAGTATTCCGGTCCACTAAGTCG